CACAGGATGCAAAGCTTGCGATCATTATCGTTTTTATCAATTAATAAGGGTTCGAAAATACATGATACTCCGCAGTAGAAGGTAAGTACAGCATTATTTTGGTATTAGCAGATACAAGGGACCAACTTTGCGACGTTAAACAGAATTCAGAATGGAATTTGTTCCGTTATTCATCGTATATGCGAAGAATATTCTGAATAACGCTCAAGTGGTGCAAACGTAGAAAGCAACATTACTATTCATTTGCAGTGCTCCAATGCAATACCTTCGGGAAGAGAAAAAAGAAGAAAACAGAAAGAGAAGTGCAGAGGCAGCCAGTAAATAGTAATAATTTAAGCAAACAGTATGTGATAACCGCAGGATTCATTCTCCTTTTTTATTACTAAGAATTTAGAGTCACTGAGTTTTACAGTGTTACATACTAACGGTTAGTTCAGGTTTATGGTAGTAAACAACAAAAAATATAGAATAACAAAATAAAAAAATTAGACCGAAAAGAACGATGATTTTCACACCTATATAGGGTAATGTTGGGAACAGAAACTGAAGAAGTTAAATCCAAACGCCAAAGTACATAAAATATGTAGAAGAAAAGAGGAAGTATAATAATACTTATTTATGCTGTTGTTGTGATTTATACTGTTAGATGTCCCCCTGAAGTAGAGAGATCGTGCCATGAGCTTATTTTCAAAGAGTTTATACTCAAGCTGTGGCATACAGGCAGCTTATCTTTTTCCTTTTGTTGAAGTTATTCAAACTCAGGGGCCTTAGCTATAAAGCGCGTTCCCACAGGTAAGGGTGGTTCTCTTAAGTCCCCACCATCATGTCCACTGAATAGCAGTCACCACCCTCCCACCTTTTAATCTGCTAGGCCCTGTCGAAATACTCCTTTTGTTTTTAGAAAAAGAATCTTCTTTTATCGCTACGTGTCACATAGACGGTTTTGCATTCACTAGCTAACTCAACGAAACTCATGGTATGAACGACTACTTTCAGTCAGCCATTTTGTATGTATCGTCTCTAACAGCACTTTAAAAATATATATGTACAATAAAAACGTAAGGAAATCAGAGACTTGCAGTCTACCTTCTAGGTTTTAGTTATAAAAATATGAAACGAAGGGGTAATATGAAATGGTGCGAAAAAAATACATAAAGGTACAAAGTTATGTACATATATTCATAAAAAGAGACAGTAGTTAATTACAATAGATGGTTCAGAAGAATTCGAATACAGAGGATTATAATAACATAACAGTAAAATAAAATCCGTTAACATTTAAGACTCACAGTGTAGTTAGGCTGATTTTTTAGACGACCCCACGTATGGCTGGAATTTGCGTAGACGTAGATGGTATTTACTCACAAAATTAGTTAGCCACCAGAGGAGATTTTAGTCCCGGCCATATCCAGGTCGTTTACTACTCAACCTTGAGGTAGAACCCCTACCACACCGAGGTGCCCAAAATACAGTTTTGCCAGGGATATTCGCCATAATATTTGATTAGTTTGGCAGTCAGCAGCTGGGGTTACATGGGGTTGAATGACTAAACGGTATGACACGAGGTGTGAGGGCAGTTCATCACATCGCTTTCGTTTCTGTCTGTATCCAAAGTGCCACATCCCTTCTTCGGCCCAGGCATTATTCAACATCACCAAAAGATCCAAATTGCGTTGCGATAATCCGTGTCCAAAGATGCCGGCTGCAGACCAAGTAAGTACTCTCCAAAACAGTTCCAGAAGGCGCACCAGAAGAACAAACAGCAGAATAAAAACGGTCAAGGAACTTAACCCTAAGTTCCTATTATTTCCGAAGACGCTCCGAATCGACAATTATACTAAGTGCAATATCGACTTTAACTCCGAAACACAGTGAATGACAAGAAATTGTATTCTTCGACAGTTAAAATCAATACTCTGTACTAAGTCTATAAACAAATGTTTTACAAGGAATTTATTGTACTTTTATTCGTATTCTTTCGTCTTCTTCTAACTTGTACACGATTGAATCATTCGCGCCTTCGAGTTGCCCGCCAATGGCGACCAAGGCCAATGAACAAACGTTCAATGTTCACAGTCATTTACACCTAGCTTTCATTACTTGAGAGGGCTATCAACTTCTTAGAAGGCATTCATAGACGGATGAGAAGAGAAATCATTTTCCTTAGGCACAAATCATATCATGGAAAATGTGGAAGTTGGGCATTTTTACACTTATCTACCACTAGTTTGAGGCGATTTGACCGCTGACTGCAAGGTCATGAATGATTAGAATCATCTAAACAATGTTATCTTACCTCTGGGTCATCACTGACTCCCTTTGGCAACACGCGATGAATTGCTCATCAGTAGGTGAGGACTGCAGTGCACTCCCATCTGTGTACGCCTTGAATCTATCGCTCCTGGAACTACTCCCTGGCATAGTGTCTACTGAAACTTAGGGGAAAAGCTCTGAATAGTGGGTGAATAGTTTGCACAGCAACATGAGCTGTGCCAAAAGGACAATCTTCTCAACAGAACCTTACAGAAATAAATACGCTATAGTCAACTCGCAAAATATATTTGAGACATCTAGTCCGACAAAGGCGTTTGCATGCGTCAGTCGATAAAATAAAGGTAACAGGCAGGTTTATTTGTCCGCCAAATGTGGCGGGTACTGCAGGGGGGGAATTAAAGGTATTGGCATGGTTGGGACTCTGTTGATAGTAGCGAGAGCACATGGTACATAAATTGTTGGCGTATCTAGCTCTTAAACATTTCCTCTACCTACAGGATTTACATATAAAGTAACAGTGTGAAGCATATTATGTGATGTTATTCCATGCGAAGAGGAGACCAGTTCAAAAACTGCACTTGAGTACATGTGGTTGTCATCTGATACAACATTATGACTGAAACGATAAGAGATGGGGAACCTTAAGTGTTTTGAGGCATGGGAATTCTGGCAGCCCTGTGACTTAAACAGGCCACCGTGAAGGTTGGTGTGCTAGATACCTGCCTTTACAGGTGTTGACGAAGCTTTTAAATGTAGCATTATACATTGCAAATGAACTTCGTCAGCTTAGGTATTATAGTCTCCCATTGTGTTTCCTTTATCAATGCATCTATTAATGAGACATTGCACCTACCTATTCATTGCACTTTAATGATTCACCTTAGCACCTTTACTTTTCTAAAACAGCTTACTATCCTTCGTAAACATTGTACTTACCTCACTATTGGTTTGTTATCGTATGCCTACAACCACGTTTTGAAAATGAAACGAAGTCGATTTTTCTGCACAACCTGGAGGACTACTGTTCAATCCAATAAAGATACGACCTGGGTCAGACAATGAGTGTATTTATATATATGTATCAAATATTTAGCTGTTCAAACATTATTAACTTGTAGACAATCTACTATTTGTCATTATATCGTACTTGATCGTGCCTGTAAAAATGGCATGCATTTTCATGTAAATTTATGTTTATATGAAAATATACATTATTATTATTATTAGTGTTTCTACAAAACAGTGTGCTTGGCCAATCAGAGGTAGTTAGTGACTTAGGAATTTGGAAGCACAGGTGGCCAAGGAGGAACTATATTTTATGATTTGTAGGGCTCTCTTGATCTACTGAACGATGAAAACCCTTACATGCTCTTCTCCATTTCTGTTAAGTATGAAGCACTTATCTGTACAAGTTAGTATTGTGAACGGAGCCTAGTAGTGAGGCTGTAATGGCATCTGTTCTACTGAAGAGAAATTTGTGGGTCACCAGTTGCTTACAGATTCACTGTCAACACGGTGGTTGAAGTCGAAGCATCTTTTTGTCAGCTGACGAGTGGCTTCTGGATTGGCTGCGTTCGTTGGACCATTCGGGAGGACTAAGTGGCCTGGCACAGTTAACGTAGTACCATGAATGATTTACCCTGTGTGCACCCCAAGTTTCCGTAAGTATTTGGCTGCATATTTAGCAGTATCAAATGTAGATGATGATTATAAGCCATAAGGAAGCTTTTCAACTGTCCGTGGAGTCTTTCCATTACACAGTTCATCGCCGGATGATATGCAGTCCTGGAGATATGGTTTATGCCAAGGACTCTCGTGAATTCTTGAAACAAAGTTGACTGGAATTGTGACCTTTTGTCTGATGTAGAATTTAGTGATATCCCACTTAGGTCTCCTTAGTAAACTTAAAGGTTTCGGACTAGACCAATGCCTATGTGAGTGGTTTAGGGATTACCTAATGGATAGAAGGCAGAAGGTTAGAGTTAACGGTGTACTATCAGGGCGGAAAGCACTATCCAGTGGAGTGCCTCAGAGAACTGTATTGGGCCCCTTCCTATTCCTATTATACGTTAATGAGCTACCGGGGATTCTAACTTCATCTTCATTGTTATTTGTAGACGACATTAAGATGTGGAAAACTGTAAATAATAACGAGGATAGGTCGGCCCTACAAACTGATCTAGATAAATTAGCTGAGTGGTCGAACCTGTGGAGTTTGGAAATGAATTCTAGGAAAAGCGCGGTAATGCACTTAGGTCAGAAGTCTTATACGTCGTATTCCCTACGGGACACAGAACTACCTGATGTTAACGAACAGAAGGACCTAGGAATCATTGTCAGCAATGATATGAAAACAACTGCAAATTGCAATGCAGCCGCAGCTAAGGCTTTTCGAGTGCTACGGGCACTTCGAAGGGCTTTCAAACGATTAGACGAGGGCATGTTCTTAATACTCTACGCAACATATGTCAGGCCTCATCTAGAATACTGCGTACAAGCGGCGGGTCCATGCCTCAAAAAGGAGGCACATATCCTGGAAAGAGTACAGAGAGTAGGAACGAAATTAGTTAGTGGTATCTCACACCTTCCTTATGATAAGAGGATGGAGCATTTAAATCTTTCCGTCATCATACTGAAGGAACAGAGGTGACTTAATTTTAGCATACCTCATACTTAAGGGTGATTTAGGAACTGACCTTTCTGAACTTTTCTCCTCTTCTAGGATACATTTACGGGGTCGCCGCAAAAAGGTGCTCAAACCGAGGACGATTAAAATACGTGCAGAATTTAGATTCTCTCACAGAGTGGTCAACGACTGGAACTCCTTACCTGATTCAGTAGTAACAGCTCCATCGGTGAACGCTTTCAAAGAGAAGTTAGATCTCTGCAGAGATATATTTTGCAAGGATTAACACAGGCCACAAGAGCCTTCTATCCTTATCAACTGAATCTGAATCTGAATCAGATTGTAACTAGCTCCTGTCACACAATTTTTCCTGCTCACTATATGGTGAATACTTCGTTAGCTTAAGTTGGTATTTTAAAATTAGTGAAAAGCGGAAATGAGAACTGGATATACGTTAGTGCAATAGGAACTTATTAGATATTGGAACAACAACTGTACTCACTTTTCAAAAGTGAGTTGTTCGTCAAGGGCGTGTTTAGCCTGATCAAGTATGACTCAGCCTCCAACTCAAGACAAACTAACACGTATCGCTATTGTTAGCAGTGATAAATGTAAACCGAAAAAGTGCCGTCAAGAATGCAAAAAATCGTGTCCTGTAGTACGCATGGGTAATTGATTAATTAAAATAATGTAATTCCTGAAGGCAAACTATGCATCGAAGTGACACCTAATGACAAAATAGCATTTCTCTCTGAAGAGTTGTGCATTGGGTGCGGTATTTGTTCCAAAAAATGCCCTTTCGAAGCTATTTCCATCATAAATTTACCCAGTAATTTGGAGAAAGAAGTTACCCACCGTTATGGACCGAATTCATTCAAACTGCATCGCTTGCCGATGCCACGACCTGGTGAGGTTTTGGGTTTGGTTGGGACTAATGGTATTGGAAAGTCCAGTGCTCTTAAAATCCTTGCTGGCAAACTTAAACCCAACCTTGGGCGTTTCAAGGTGCGTTACTTTTTTCTTGATTTTTGTAATAGTCTACCTGCTTATAAATTATGAGACTGCAGGCGTACTTTTGCTGGATAGCCTAACATTATACTAAGGCATAAAAAACGTTTTAAAGACAATCATATGAAATTAGTCATACTGAGAAATTCATTAATATGTTACACAACAATAGACCAGTTTATCATAAAGTATCTCTTCGGAAATCTAACTGTTATGTGCGATATGTATTTGGAAGCATTGGAACCGTGTCACTGTGATCTTAACATAAAATCAGTTGCTCTCTAGGCTTGGTTTTGTACACGTGTTCATGTGTTCCGCTGGTGCTAAGGAATTGTCAAGGATTTAACCCATGACCTGCCTCGTCGCTGATTTTCTCATCGAAGTGTAAGTATAAACTTTGCATAGTGGAGGCAGTTTTCTTCGTGCATATATTAGTTGTGAATTTATTTACACGATTTTTAGTCATCCCGATAATTAGACTTTGACTCAGTGGTGCGTACTGCCACACACTTTAGGTTTCTTTAAGTGACTTGAATGTATTCGTGTAGTGAGTGATTATTCCCTATTTTTCTGCGTGTTTAAAAACGTACTCAGGAGCCACCAAAAAAGTTGTCCTGTCACGTTTATGAATTTCTACTTGCTCCCCAAAATCCTTCAGTTATATACCATTTCCGCTTTCAAATTATATGCTTACACATTCTATTGACATTTCATTCTGAAACCGAATTCAAAATAGTGCTAATCTGTTGTTTGGTTTCCAAAGTTGGTCTACAAAGTTCTAACAGGACAACCGGTTGTTTTTCAAATGGTAGGCCATATTGATCTCAGAAGCTTAGTAGTATCTTAAGCCTTTACATGAAGTGTGACTCTTGACTATACTAAATCTAGGAACGGGTCACTAATTTGCCTTATGCTAGAACAAGACATAACTAAAGGCTATCTAATTATAAATGTATCACAGTTTGAAGTAGTAAATCGAAGTGTTCATGTCAAAACACGTTAATCACTTTTCATTTTTACCTATTTCTACCACTAATATTACCAAACATTTTACTTATTGTGCCCAGGCGAAAAGGCGAAGATACTAGCCAAATAGAACTTCTGAGCAGTTTATATGCTAAGAGCAAACCTGCTGGGGTGCGAAGCGGTTCTCATTACCGAAGGATGATTACTACCCAGATGGTAGAATATTAAGAAAATTAATATCTTCTCTTAGACGATTTATAATACTCTCCAGCTTGGGTTAGCACTTTCCTACTTTGTATGTTTCTGTAGGTAAAAATTGTATTAGTCTGTTGATCGCCTACCACGTAAAAGTATGAACTGAGTGGTAAGACAGACAGTCCTATCTTCAATACTAAGTATAAGAGTTGATCACTACGTAGGGAATTTTAACAATCTAATCCCTCGATGTTTCTTTGAACTCAGTTACCTGGAGCTAGATTTTCATGTACCACGCTGCGAATCACTTGACAAGTGGCATTGTCATGTAGCTATTGAATGAAGTTGATATAAACTTGGGCACTGCACGGCGTAGTGTTGAAACTGTTTCCAAATTACGCTGCACTGTCGAAGGCCTTTTCGAAGTCGATGAACTTAAGATACGGGTTTGACTGCCATCCTATGCTTTGTTCTGTGATGACGATGCGTAGAGTTGCAATTTGCCTTTCTAGAATCCAGCTTTTTCCAGGTGGCGGAGTTCTGCACCCAGTGAATCTTCTAGTCTCTCCAGGATGGTGTGACTTAGTATTTTACTTGGCGCGGATAAGAGCGTTATTCTACTCCAGTTCTTGCAGAGGCGTAAATCACCCTTCTTTCGTAGCTTGACAAGGTAGCCTTTCTTCCAATCGGTAGGCACCTTGCCTTCTTTCCAAATCTTTTGCAATAATGGCATCAGCTTATCTGCCGCAGTCTCTTGGTTCGTTTTCAGTGCTTTATGGGGGCGGGGGGGGATTCCACCTGGCCCTGCTGCCATCCCGACTGGACTTCAGTAGCTTGGTTGCATTCAAGATTTCTGTTTCTTTTGGAAGACTGGTGTTCACTGGCAGTTCTCTTCGTGCTGCTGGTGGTTGCTGCTGCTGCTGGATTCAACATAGAACTTGGCACCGAAGTGCAGCAGTTCGAGTTGCCACCTTCCAAATAGCACGCAAAGGTAGACAAGAAGATGAGTGAAGAGAATCAATAAAGTTTTGACAAGTATAAGAGTGAAACAGAATGAGTAATGGTAGAAAGGAATATGAAAGATTACAGAGACTGAATACATCTGCGCCATTGACAACGATTTTGAGCCATGTCACCTATTGTCTCCAACCATTGATTCTTAGAGTCCCGAGGGCCCCAACCCGGAAGTCTGCGTCTCCCTACCTGACTCAGTTTAACTGTCTAGGATTTCATGGATTGATGAGGCCATGTTTTTGTTTGGCCACCACTTACTCTTTCCCATCCTGCACCTACCTGTATCAGCTAGTAATGCCCCTCGGGGGAGGCGATGGTTAGGCATGCGCAGCACGTAGCCTAGCCATCTCAATTTATGTAACTTTATAGCTTCGTCGATTGATTTTCCCTCTTTGCCCAACACTCTGCGCCTAACGTCAACATTACTTACCTTATGTCACCTAACGCGAGAAAGAGATCGTAAACATCTGTGGTCAAAAACAGACAATCTTTTCATGTCTTCCGCTCTCAATGGCCACGTCTCACCGCCATAGAGAAGGACGGAGCGAACTGCTGAGCAGTATACACTGATGTCACGCCTACGCCAGAGACTGTGCAAGTTAGCGAAAGCAGCTCGAGCTTTTTGGATCCGTGCTGCTGGTGGTATTTCTGGGCGAGTTGCAGGTGATGGCCGATTCAAAATTCCTTTGAATTGATCAGCCCATCGTTCAGTTTGCCTTCATCATGTTTTATTGACTGTTTTGATCTCTTCTTGGATAGACCTCGTTATCTGATGTAATGTCCACAGGTCTCTCTTACTTGTGGCCTGTTCTGCATGAGTTAGCAATGCGTTTTAAAATTGTCTTTTAGCTCTCCTAGCACTCTTCATCACTTCTTTATTCAGTGCAGTGTACATTGTACTCAGCTTCTCTTTCTCTTGTCCATCTTTGCATTGAGGCATCTTCTCTTTCACCATCCTCCTCTCCTCAATTAGCTTCCAGGTGTCCATTGAGAGCCATTCCTTGTCGTGTCTCTTCTTTCTTCCTAGAACAGTTGTACACGTTTCCTTGAACATCACATTCAGGGAATTAGTTGCAGTATTCTTCCATACAGGTTTCCTCGGTGATAACACGTAGTATCTGCAACTTTTCCCTGACGTGATCTGTAGTGGCGGGTATCCCTTGTAGTTTTGTTTTTTACTTTCTGCATGTTGAACTTGAATTGTTGTTGTTTTGAGGAATTTCAGCTTCACCTTGAAGGTTCCTTGAACTAGATGATGGTCTGAGCCCATATGTTACCATTCTAAACTTTGTGTCCAGCAGGCTGGCTGCGTCTCGAATTCCTTGAGATTGATATGAAATCTATCTGGTTTGTGGTATGTCCGTCAGTTGAAATCCATGTTGCTTTGTGTATATCCTTGTGTTTGTACACGCTCCCTTCGATCACCAAATCGCTGAAGGAGCAGAAGTCTACGAATAATTCTCCGTTCTCATTCATTTCTCCGAGACCCTCTCGACTTATGACGAGTTCTGTTCCTGTATTATCTGCTTCCAGTTCAGCTGGCACTCATATCGCCGATAAGGATTTTGATGTCACCATCTGGGATGTTGCCCATTACTGTTTGTAGTTGTCTGTAAAAATCTCCTTTCTTCTCTTGTTCCGCGTTGTTTGTAGCACTGTGTGTAGCATTGGATAATTGTAAGAGTTGAATCTTCCTGTCATGATCCTGGATGAAATTGGTTCCCACTGCATTGGGGCTTTGGCTGCCACTGGTGACATCGTGACAGCCAATCCCTCAGTGTGTTCGTGGTTGTCGTCTGGGTGACCAGACCGGAGTAGATTACTGACTCTCCTGTTGACAGTGTTCTCAATCAACATCCATTCCACCTGCTTCCGCAGATACTCATTAATTCTAAGCCATATCTTCGCATCTCTTTGACTACCTGGGCAGCCTTCCCAGTCTCGTACACTGTACGGACATTCCACGTACCCATTCTTACTCTTGCTTTCATCGAGAGAAGACACATCGGCTGACTGGCTTCCCGAAGGCTTTTAGCAGCTCGCTGTGTCATTTCGCCTGTTCAATTTCAGCGAAGAATAGGTTTATTTCAATATATATATTTTGTATTTTAATGTGCGTTGAAGTTTCTGTAGCGGTTTGATTGGTTTTGTGGTGTAGGGTCGCTAGCCCTGCCCCTAACCCTCCCTCTTCACTCGGGCTCGGGACCGGCTAGTAAACTAGGCGAGGTTCTGTATGTCAGCATTCCATCCTAATAGTGACAATGTCAGAAATCTGAACATTCTCTGGAGGCAAATTCAGCTCTCTCCATCATTTTGATTTTTGCTGCTTATTACTGTTCACAACTATTGAATAGGCTCTTTGCTTGTCACTGTTTAAGTCACCTACAGAATCCAAAATGTTTGAGACATAAAAGAAGGTATTTTGATGCAAACATTCGTTCCAAATGGGTTGTTGAGGTACTTTGGCTATTTCTGAACATCTTTAACAATTTGAAGTGAAGGTGGCCTCAGGCCTTTTGTCTTGTTCAACTAACCGTCTGGCTACTTTGCTTTTAAACAGTCCAAATATTCTCGACGTCAAGCTGCGCTAGAGTAAATCTTTCGTGTTACCCTCTGCAGACCTCTATAGTATCGATAAAGGCATTTCCTATATCGAGACATGCACTGTAGTAGGAATAAGTATTCGTTTGAACTCCTTCAGTGAAAAACTGATGAGAAGTGTTTTGTCTTAGAACACTGTTTAGTTTGGTATTCTTTCTGAATAGTATTCGTTTCCGTGCATTATATTAGAATTGGCTAAGAATACGTAGTTATCCGAGCACAGGTTTAGGTATGAAGCATCATTATCAGTTCACTGGGAATTAGTGATGCTACCCAAATGCTTTTGTGTCTAGATTAGTTCCTCTACTTCTGCCTCAGAATATATCTTATAGTTTGACCTCACCTGAGTGTTTGTCATTTCTGGTAGGCCAAAAAGCTCTTGTTTCTATAATTCGAGCTAAATGTAGTAAGTTCATATCCAGTCATAATCCTTCCTAATTCCAAAGGTACTTTGCATTGGGCAATGCACATACTACTGTCAACACGTATTAATTTAAGTCGTCCACTTTTTAAGACTCCATGTCATACTTGTATGTCCGAGATTATGGAAGGAAATTGCTTCTCGGTACCCTGGATGCCCAAAGCTTGAAATCCCTAATCTCATTCGCCTGATCATTTGAAGTTTTAGTGAATGACCTCATCAGAATTCTCTATGTTTATCTGACAAGCACAGCACACATATGACTCAAGATGTCAGCGTTTGCCAGTATGGCTTGTTTACAGACAAAAAGAGCTCCACTACGTCGTGTAGAACCTGAGTTTTGGGGGGGGGGCGAGGTGTACAGTTCCGTAACCTGGGAACCTTAGTAGTGGTTTCACAGTGGGGCATTGCAGCTAATGCAAATTCGTTTGCATGAAAAAGTTAAGAAGGATCAAAAGGTAAAGATGAATGCAGTTGGTGTTTAGAAGAAACTTGAATATCAATAGGGATATATAGAAGATTAACCTCTCCCCAACTTCTCAAACTGTGAACGTCAGTCATTGTTTCCTTGTCGTGCTTGCAGGCGACGTCTGTTTTAGTTTGATCATATGAAGCGAGTTTAAAAGGTATTACAATTCGCACCTTATCCCTGGTTAAAAACCACCGTAGGGTAAGTTGGCAGTGGATAACGTTGAGAGATTATCTCATCTAGTCTCTCCATACTGGAGTTGAAGGGGGAAATACTTTAATGCCGTCGCACATCTATTGAGTCCACAGTACAACTTCACGCCTTCCTTGCCATTTTAGAGTGAGATGTTTATATCACGACGGTAACTACCTCCAGTTTTGTCGCTGGCACAATAGAACCTTCGAAAACTATCCCATAGTTCTCATTTCAATGTCTTGCTGAGAGATCTGCAAACCTTGCCACTAACTCAAAGTAGCAGCTATCGATTTTATACTTTAGAATGCCGTGATAATTCACTTAGGAAATGTATAAATGAATACACAGAATATGGTCAGCAAATTTCAAATGTATTCTTTCGTTTATTTAGTTATTTTGCTACTTCCTCCAGCGTGTTTGTTTTTTCTTCTTTGTATCATATTTTCTCTAGAATCCTCCAGACTGGACTGAAATTCTAACGTATTTTCGTGGCTCAGAATTACAAAATTACTTCACAAAAATACTAGAGGATAACTTGAAAGCTGTAATCAAACCACAATATGTTGATCAAATCCCTAAAATTGTATCCGGTCAAGTGAAAACCCTACTGGATCGTAAAGATGATCGTGGTAATCAAGATCATATTCTAGATGTACTTGGTAAGAATGTTTATTATTGGATAACTAATACAGTGTCTTCTGGCGACTAGATCTCACAGTGGTCACTGAACGTATGGTAGGAGATTTATCCGGTGGTGAGCTGCAAAGATTTGCTTGTGCAATGGTTTGTGTACAAAAGGCTGATATATACATGTTCGATGAGCCTAGTTCCTATCTGGATGTAAAACAACGTTTGAAAACGGCTATTGCTATACGTGAGCTATTAGAGGTTTGTAATTCTATTTTTTTTTTTAATTTCCTTTTAATTTCTCTTCTTTTCTTAACCTTCAACAGGGTACAAACTATGTGATTGTTGTTGAACACGATCTATCTGTCTTGGATTACTTGTCTGACTTTATATGCTGTCTTTATGGTGTCCCAGGTGCCTACGGTGTAGTCACTATGCCTTTTTCTGTTCGTGAAGGTATTAATATATTTCTGGATGGTGTGGTGCCTACAGAAAATCTACGTTTCAGAGAAACACCTCTAGTCTTCAAAGTGAGTTTTTCAATCCTTAAATTGATTACTTATTGTGGAAATTGTAATTTGATTTGAAATCCTTCTTTTCGCCTTTAAAAAATACATCGATAATTTATAGCCGCGACCTTGATCAACTGTACTTAAGAGTGAAATCCTACTGACCTTGATCGATCTAGTTTAAAAAGTTATATTGTTACAGAAAGTTGTTTGAAGTAATTCAGGAAATGAGCTTTCCTTTTCATCAATATAGGCGGCCAGTGTTCTGTTTTTGATGAATGCCTTTTTCAACATATTAAATATTCCCATAGCAAAATTTAGAACAACACATTTAAGCGAACAGTATTGTTTTCAATTAGATCTCATCAGGCTTAACTCTAATATACCCACATAACTTTACAAATAAAAATTCAAATATAAACCAATCATGGTGTTTTGTCTATAGGATAATAAGGTGAGTCCATGAGTCCATGAAACCAACGGGTACCAATACTCCACGTCTTTACGGTCTACCCAAAGTGCACAAACCAGGTCTTCCTCTTCGCCCTGTTTTAGATATGTATAACTCTGCATTTCACGGAACAGCGAAGTGGTTAGTGAAGATTCTGCGTCCTTTGCACAGAGAAATCGTACAACATAGAATTAGTGATGTCTTCGACTTTATTTCTAAAATGTCCGAGACTAATGTGAGGGATAAATGAATGTTATCCATGGATGTATCACCGCTATTCACGAATGTACCACTTATGGAAACGGTAGATTACATTTATCAAGAAATCACCGAAGGGCAATTGGACTTAGGAATTCCCTTTTGTATCCTCAAAGAATCACTGCTTAAGTGCACAGTGAATGTACACTTTGTCTTCAATAATTCATGCTACCGACAAGTAGGTGGAATAGCTATGGGTTCACCATTAAGCCCAATATTAGCTGACTTCTTCCTTGCAAAACTTGAAAACGGGAAATTGAAAGACATCATCAAGGAGTTTGATATGTCGATGATACATTTATCTTAGCGGATGGGAATGTAAACAAAGACGAATTGTTGATGAAATTCAAAAACGTCCACCCTTCGCTTACTCTTACTTGTGAAAAGGAGCAGGATAGTAAACTACATTTTCTGAATGTCTTGTTAAGTAGGCGAGAAGATGGGTCCCTTGGGAAAACCGTGTATAGAAAAAGCACATTCACAGGGCAATACTTCCTTAGTTACGTGCCCATTAAATAAAAAGAAATGTTGTTAAATGTCTTGCGAGCAGAACAAGAAAGATATGTACGAATGAACTCTTACAAAAGGAATTTGAATATATTCACGATTCCTTGACGGAGATGGGCTATCCGAGTAGTTTCATAAAGAAACATATGAAAACATCAGAGAGAAAACCTGAGACTATGACTGCACGTAAAAAACCTCTATTTATTAAGTTACAATTTAATGGTGACTTATCAAGTGAGATTTTATTCCAGAGACTTTCCAGGAGTATATGGAGAACGTTTTACGCAGCATGCCTATGTTTGTCATTCTCTAGCCGACGAATGATTGGGACGCAAACGAAAAATAATCTAGATAGTTTTGTCACATATCTATGTGCATTTATCAATTCAACTGCACCTGCGGTGACAGTTATGTTGTGCGTACTACTAGACAGCTTGGCCAACGTGTTAGTGAACATCTCCCATCGTGGTTTGGCAAAGGATAGACAAAAACAATCCGTAGCTCAATTTTGTCACACTTAATTGATAGTGGTCATGTAATCGAGAAAACGAGAGCCTTCAAAGTAATTCATCGTATCCCACCGAATCTTTCCAATAGACTTCGTATTCGTTTACTGCACACAGCTGAGGCGATAGGCATTCGAACTATTAAACCTAAACTATGCATTCAAAAGAAGTTCGCACAGCCATTATCCCTCCCTTGCTTGGCCTATTAAGACATAACCAACTGATGACTTCTACACCACCCCTTATTTATATTTTCAACCCCTTTCTTATCATCCCTTAATCTTATCACATCTTCATTAAAAACGTGTTTCATTTACTTCCCTTACAATCTAGCATTACTTAATCGGTTCATTTGTTTTTACTAGCCTTTATCGACTACTTCCACCTGAACATTTGTTTGTTTAATCTTGCTGTTTTTCATTATTCGTGTTATCACAGATTGCCTCACTTTTTCATCCTTATTATTGATAAAACCATTATTACTATTATTACTATCATTACTTCTATTATGACTTATTACACAATTTATATTCACCATCTTATTATCCTATAGACAAAACACCATGATTGGTTTATATGTGAATTTTTATTTGTAAAGTTATGTATATTAGAGTTAAGCCTCATGAGATCTAATTGAAAACAATACTGTTCGCTTAAATGTGTTTTTCTGAGTGCCCTTTTGTATAATAGAGACTACTCCATACAGTGGTATCCACAGAAAAAATGCCAACGGTAAATGGTTAAGTGATCATAACACTAACTTTACCGACTGACTACTAACTCTTGAATTCAAATATAATTCGATCCATCTTGTCAAACACTGCATTTGTCCTTAAAAAGTAATCGTTTAACTGTTGTGCCTCTGGATAGTTTGAAAGACAGATTCAGTGTTGTGTTCTTTGGGCTGGTTGTGATATAATTGCGTAACTGTCGTTGTCCTGCTAGACATCATATTCAGCTCAGGCTTTAATATAAAGTGACCTTATTTAAATTCGCCATGAATGAAGATATAATTGTATCTCCTGACAACCACATTGTTATGATTGGTTGCTAATTTACATCTCTATTGATCGTATTTTTATCGACTGGGAATTTGAACTTTCTTGTCATGTGATTTATTTTTTATTAGTTGGTAAATTTGATCTATGCATAGTAATGCTATTTTTATCTGATTATTCATCTGAGTACTAGGCTTTCAGAAATTCTCTAGTATTTATTACCTTTTGGTGTTTCCTCTGTTTTCTGCCAATCATCCAGTTGGTGTCCGTGATTGTCTATTTGCATTGACATGAAAGAATAGATATCGTGTCTTTTCACAGCTAATTTATGTTTTTGGATTCTGATTCGAAGGGGACATCCACTTTGACCAGTGTAGTGTTTATCGGTATTGATCTGATCTTCTTTTCCTGTTGGATCCTTTGGTTTGCACAGTATCCAGTGAAGTGGTTGTGTTGGCTTTTGTGCTATGTCAATTTCAAATGGCCTTAATATTCTAGCCGTTATTTCAGAGATATTGTTTATGTACATGGTAGAATGAATGTTCTTGTGGCCTTCAAAGATGGTTTCTTGTTGGTTAGTTTCGATTTGAATTAAAACATTTTTTTAGGGGAATTGTATGAGTATTCATTCTTCTCAAAGACAGTTATTAGATATTTCTCTTCCATTCTCTTCATCACTGGAATGCTATAATGTGTTTGAACTCTTATAAACAATGTCTGCACACAGTTTCTTTTGAAAGCCATTGGGTTACTGCGTCGGTGGCACAGCGGTTAGGACTCCCGCTGAACATGCACATGGTCCGGGGTTCGATCCCCTCGCCGACGCACACCCGATATCTATGGTCGGCCTGAATTTGGGCTACCGATATCACATGCTGAAAATTCCATACTTGTACCAAAATTACGGTGTGGAATCAAGCTATAATCGAAAAATTATAGTGTGTGTGTGCGCGCGTATGATCTTTTCTGTATGCTTGTATTTTCGAATTTCCTGTGTTAGTTCTCAAGACATCTAAGAATGGAATTTTGTTGTCTAATTTTTCTTCTCTTGTGAATGTAATTTCTTCAAATATGTTTTCGATTAAGTTTTGGGTGTATTTTTCATATTACATCAACACGAAGAATTCAAACAAGTTCACTTGATATTAAAGCATGCACTGAAGATGTCGCCTAGTAAGGTGATGAAAGCTCCACAAGTAAATCAATCAGCTCAGAGAACACAACTAAATCAAAATTATCCACCTGAGCTATAAATCCGCTCTATTATTTCAAAGACACTACCCGTTTATTTAGAGTCAAGCTTATTATTGTTTCCTTTAATTCCCCCAGAAGAACATAGGGTTTCAACCGCACGTCTCCATTGCGTTCGGTTCTCTGACAACGTTTTCACCACCTGGCTTCACGTCTGCCCACATGCTTTCATCTCCTCTTCACATGACCTCCTCCATGTCACCCTCGCAGTGACGACCAACTCGCCGGTTCCCATTCGGGTTCCACTCGAGCAATGGCCTGGCGTGTGATGTCACTCACTTGATGGCTTGTTTTCTCAGAGTATGGCCAATCCACCTCCATTTCTTCCTGCATATTTGTTTCACAATCGATTCCTGCTGATCTTTTCTGGCCGGCCATCTGGTCTTGAGTAGTATTGAGAGAAGACAGCTGTTGATGAAGGTGTGTAGTTTGTTCGAAGTGCCCTTCATGACGTGGCGCCAAGTCTCTGATCTGTATAGTAGCACTGACTTCACATTGGAGTTGAAAATCCGGATCTTATTTTTCATGCTGAGTGCTGTTGACCTCCACACAGACTTGACAGTAATGAAAGCTTGCCTTGCTTTCCCGATCCTCGCCTTGATATCCTCGTCAGTTCCGTCCGCCAGTAGTTGAAACGATGCTTCCCAGGTCGTTAGATAAAGGAGGTTGCTTCTTTCAGATTTCTCCCATTTATGCTGATTGTTGTGTGTTGTCGTTGCTGTTGCTGTTGCCGTTGGCCAGGAATCTTCATCACCTCTGTTTTCTCTATGTTCACCTGAAGTCCTATCTTTGATGCTTCTTCTGCCAACTTGTTGCTTTTTACTTGCATATCTTCCAGTTTGTAGGAAATCAAATCATGGGTGAAGTCCAGATCCTCCAAGTTTTTTTGTGTGGGTCCACTTTATGCCTGTGTCCTCGTTGCTCGCCGCTGTCTGTCACATTATCCAGTCTACCACAATCAGGGAAATCATTGGAGATAGTAGACAGCCAGCGAGCTTGTCTTACTCCCGTCTTCACTTCGAAGGATTCCGTGATTTTCCCATTGTGGAT